TTGGAGTACAATTTTTCATAGTATTTTGCTATGATCCTTTTTATTTGAGTTGGTTCTGTTGTGGTATCACCCATCTCATTTCTTATTCAGGTTCTCTGCTTCCTCTCCTGTTTTTCTTCTGTCAGTTTGGCCGATGGTTTGTCAATTTTGTTAACGTTTTCTAAGAACCAACTTTTAGTCTTATTGTTTCAACTGTTTTTCTATTCTCTATTTCATTTATTTCTGCTCTAATCTTTATGATTTCCTTTCTTCTGGTGCCTCAGGGCTTCTTTTGCTGCTCTCTTTCTATTTGTTCAAATTGTAGGGTTAACATTTTGATTTTGGCCCTTTCTTCTTTTTTGATGTGTGCGTTTATTGCTATAAACTGACCTCTAAGCACAGCTTTCACTGTGTCCCAAAGGTTTTCATAAGATGCATTTTTATTCTCATTTGACTCTATGAATTTCATTCCATCCTTATTTCTATAACCAGTAGTTATTAAGCAAGGTGTTTTTCAGTTTTCATGTATTTGATTTTTTTCCCTTGCTCTTTCTGTTATTGATTTCTACTTTTATGGCATTAAGATCAGAAAAGATGCTTTGTATTATTTAGATGTTTTGGATTCTGTTAAGGCTTGCTTTGTGGCCTAAAATACGACCTACACTGGAGAATGTTCCATGTGCTCTGGAAAAGATTGTATACTTTGCTGCTGCTGTTGGGTTGAGTGTTCTGTTATGTGAGGTCAAGTTGATTGACTGTGGCATTTAGGTCTTCGGTATCGAGTTTCTTTCTAGATGTTCTGTCCTTCACTGAAAGTGGTGTGTTGAAGTCTCCTACTATTATTGTGGAGGTGTCTGTTTCTGTTTTCAGTGCTATTAGAGTTTGTTTTATGTATTTTGGAGCCCTGTCATTGGGTGCATATATATTTTTTATGGTTATGTCCTCCTGGTGTACTGACCCTTTAATCATTACATAGTGTCCTTTCTTATCCTCTGTGGTGAATTTTACTTTAAAGTCTATTTTGTCGGAGATTAATATTGCCACTCCTGCTCTTTTTCGGTTATTTTTGCTTGCTGTTTTTTTTCTCCATCCTTTGAGTTTTAGTTTATGTCTTTGTGTCTAAGGTGTGTCTCCTGTAGACGGCATATAGATTGTGTTTTTTAATCCATTCTGCCACTCTCTGTCTCCTTATTGGTGCATTTAGGCCATTTACATTCAGTGTAATTGATAGGTATGAGTTTACTGCTGTCATTTTGATGTAATTTTTTTTGTGGTGTTGACAGTTTCTTTGCTCTGCTTAATTTTCTGTGCTTTGTTTATGCATTTTCTTTTCATCTTTTTCATTATTGTTGATGTTGTGTTTGCTGAGTCTTTTTAAACTTCATTTTTAATTTCTATTACCCAGTAATTTTTAAATAAGGTGTTATTCAGTTTCTGTGTATTTTTTCTTTGTTGTTATTGATTTCTAGTTTTATAGCATTATGATAAGAGAACATGTGTTGTATTATTTCGATTTTTTAGATTTATTGAGGCTTGCTTTGTGACCTAAAATATGGTCTATTCTGGAGAATGATCCACGTGCGTAGGAGAAGAATGTGTAGTGTGTTGTTGTTGGGTGGTGTGTTCTGTATGTCTATAAGGTCAAATTGGTTGACTGTGTTATTTAGATCTTCTGTATCTTTATTGAGTTCCTTTCTAGTTGTTCTGTCTGTCATCAAAAGTGGTGTATTAAGGTCTCTTAATATTATTGTAGAACTATCTCTCTTTTCAATTCTGTTAGTTTGTTTTATGTACTTTGGAGCTGTGTTACTGGGTGCATGTTTATTATAGTTACGTCCTCTTGGTTGACTGACCCTTTAATCATTATACAGTGCCCTTCTTTGTCTCTTACAATGGATTTTGACTTAAAGCCTATTTTATCAGAGATTAGTATTATCACTCCTGCTCTCTTATGGTAACTGTTTGCTTGATATATTTTTTTCCATCCTTTGATTTTTAAGCTATTTATGTCTTTGTGTCTAAGGTGTGTCTCTTGTAGGCAACATATTGATGGGTCATGTTTTTTACCCACTCTGCCACTCTCTGTCTCTTGACTGGTACATTTAAACCATTCACATTCAGTGTGATTATCAATAGGTATGAATACACTGCTGCCATTTTTTTATTTTTTTATTTTTTTGTGGTGTTAACGGTTTCTTTGTTCTGCTTTCTTTTTCTGGGCTGTTATTTTTGTTTATGGATTTTCTTTTTGTATTCTTTGTTGTTGATTTGTGTTTACTGAATCTTTTCCATTTTCTTCTTTATTCTGGTGAGTAGATTTATTAATCTTATTTGTGGTTATCCTGAAATATACTTTTAGCTTCCTAAGTTTAAAACAGTCTGTTGTATCTTGATACCGCCTTGTCTTCCTCTCCATATGGAAGTTCTATAACTACACCATTTATTGTCTCTTTTTGTTTTCAAGTTATCATTTACAGACTGACATCTCTGGTTCCATTTTCAGTTTTGCAGATTTATTTTACTTTTGAGTATTCTTTATCCGGGTTGGCATCTGAATGATGCTGTCGTGTCTTGATCTCAGGTTGTTGTCTGATGCCATTGACTCTCTGTTTAAAGGACTCCCTTTAATATTTTTTGTAAGGTTGGTCTGGCTTTAAGAAATTCCCTTAATTTCTGCTTATCTGGGAATGTCCTAGCTTCACTATCATATGTGAAAGACAATCTAGTTGGACATACGATTCTTGGTTGGCTGTTTTTTTTTTCAGAGTTTTATATATGTCATCACACTGTCTTCTTGCCTGTATGGTTTCTGCCAAGAAATTAGTGCCTAGTATTACCGGTGCCCCTTTATAGGTGATATTTTGTTTTTCATGAGCTGCTGTCAGAATTCTTTTTGTCTTCGGCTTTGGGAAGTCTGATTATGATATGTCTCGATGACTTTCTTTTGGGGGTCTATCCTGTATGCGGTTTGTTGAACTTCCTGGATGGAAACCTTCTCATCTCTCATGGTATTAGGAAAGTTTTCTGTCAATAAACCTTCAAAAATTCTCTGTGCTTTTTTTCTCTCCTCCTAATTATATGTAAATTCTTCCTCTTGATAGTGTCCCACATAACTCTTAGGCTTTCTTCATTCTTTTTTCTAATTGTTCCTCAAATAGATTAGTATAAACGGAGTTTTTCTCTATTTCATTGATTCTTTCTTCCATTAAGCCAATGCTACTTCTATGTCCTTCCATTGAGTTATGTATTTCTGATATTTTATTATTAATCTTCTGGATTTATAATTATTGTTTTTGTATGGTTTGTAACTGTCTACGTATTTTGTTATTTTGCCCTTGTATTGTTTCCCTGAATTCTTCTAGGGTTTTGTCTGTGTTTTCCTTGATCTCTCTGAGGACCCCATATATAAAATAAGTCTTTCGAATTCTTTATCTGGTAGCTCTGTTACCATTTCTTCCTCAGGAAGGTTTTCTGCCCATTTATTTTTCTCACTTGTTTGAATCATCTTATCCTGTTTTTTCATATGATTTGTTATTGTCTACCATCTTCCAGGCATTAAGGTGTTATTTATTTACTTATTGACTGATTGTATGTTTGCTTGTTTTGTCCTGATTTGTTGTTTCATTTTGATATATCAGGGAGGACAGAGTGGGCATGTGCCACTGACCGCTCATCTGGCGGCATGGGCACACTCACCATCTATCTCTAGATGAGTGGGGAAGTGGCGGGCAAGGCGAGCATGTGTTGCTGTTCACCGGGGCACACTGGGCAACTTAGGGCGAGTTAGGTGGATGCAGGTCATTGCCTGTCATCAGTCCAGTGCCACAGGAGCACATGATGGCACTTGCTGAGTGGGTGGGGTTGTAGGTGGGGGTGTGATGGGCGACCCAGAGTACTGGGCGCTCTCCGCCACTTGTCAGGTGGGCAGGGTGCAGGGAAGGGGGTGTGGCAGGTGACTGGGAGCACAGGACACTCTCTGCCTCATGTTGGGTGGGCGGGGTACAGGGCAGGGGGATATGGTGGCTGACCAGTGGCACGGGAGCGCTGCCGCTCGTCAAATTAGCAGGGTGGCAGGGGTGTGAGGTGGCAGACGGGGCAGGGTGAGGGGGAATGGGGAGCTCATATCACAGTCCCCAGATGGGCAAGGTGCCAGGGGTGGGAAATGTTCATGCTGCTAATTAGCAAGGGGGCGGGGGGAGGGAGAGCGTGCTCCTCTGATTACCAGGAGTGGGTGCCTGGGCACTTCTTGTCAGGTGCAGCCAGCAATCGGGACGTGGCCCTGACCAAATGCAAAAAGCAAAGGAGCTGCCCATAGTCTGGTCGGGTGAGGGACTTCCTGCTGGCACTCTATGGATCTGTTTACTCCATGTGCATCACCCATTCTAATGGTCAGGGACCGCCACTGGTGAGTAGTCCTTTCTCTGGATCCTGGCTCCCTCCCTGCTCTGTGGACGCCAGGATCCCTGGAGTTCTCGCCTTCCTTCCTTTACTTTCCCTCCTTAGATCTGCTGTATGTACTGCTCACCTTGCTTCACTCAGGTATGTCTACATTTTCTCTGTCTCCCATTGGGAGGTGTGTGAAGTTGCCTTCCTGTGCTCCTCACCTGGGATTGCTACTGGCTTTGTCTCAAGATGGCCGCCTGTGCCAGGCCAGCTGGCAGGGCACCTCCGCTCTGTATCTCTCCTCATACACTGTTTTCATTCAGTTGTTTTCCAATCGGTGTTCGATCTAATTCTCTATCTTCCCATTTGATCCTCAAGGTTCCAGGATTGTCACCTGTATCGGTTTCACTTGGTTTCTTGGGACCTTGCTGTAGAAGGACAGCGTGGTGTGTCTGACTAAACCACCATCTTGGGTCTGTCTCCTCCACATGTATTATGTTTCTAATTTAAAAACACATTACATTTCTAATTTTTTAAATTACATTGCCAATTTAAAGGAAAATACTTCCACATGCTCATGAAGGGCCACTTCCCAGACCACCCCGTGCCGCAGAGGGACGGCCTCAGGGCACACTCACCCAGAAGTCTTCCCCAGGGCAGGGTCGCAGACAGACGGTGCAGGTGGCAGACGCGAAGGTGCCGTGGGCTTCAACCAGCTTTGAAGCGGGGATGCCAGCCACTGCAATTCAAACCTCAGGTGAGCACCATGGACACCTAGAGGAGCCACTGAGCCCAATGACCCTGCCTGTGCCACTTACAGGTGACGTTCATGACCAGACAATGCACAGGGCACAAGGGACACCCAGGAGAGCCAGGTCAGCCAAAACAAAGGACAAAAGTTCAGATAAAACTACACCCGATACCAGAATACATCTTCTATTCTAAAAGACACCAAGTAAAAGTGTAAATATAACATAATGAACTTCAAAAAATTGCTTGGCTAAAAACAGATAAAAGGTGACTAAGGCAATAATCTGTTACCACTGCCTGCTTCTGAGAGGCTCTAGGTGGCTGCCACAACACCCCCAAGAGTATCCTGACTCCCAAGCCAAGACCCACGGCCTACCTGGCTATACCTAGGCTGACAGTAGCTCCAGGTGTGGGTGTCACCTGGGCTCTGGGGTCCATGCTACAGACTCTTTCTAGGAAGTAAGCATTTCCTGAACTCTACAGACGACAACACTTTAAACCACAACATGCCGTAGCCTGGAGAGCAGCTGCCAGCCTGCTGGCACCACGCACAGGAAGAGGCCCCGCCGATGTTCCCTGGCCTCAGGGTGCATGCTGGTGTGGCCACCTGGACATGAAGGAGACACCGTACTTTGCACACTCAAGAACACTAGGGAGTTAACTTGTGTTTTTGATGTGATAACAGCATCGTGGCAATGCCTTAAAAGTCTTCACCTTTTAGAAACGCCTACTAGTATATTTGTAAATTACATTCATGTGTGTGGGACTTTCTTTAAAGTAATCCAGGGTGGTATGGCTTGACATGAGTGACGATGACTCTTTATCTCTATATGCTTGAGAAACTTCCTAATAAAGAATACAGTTTAAAAGGAAAGCAGTCATCCCATCAGACTAGCAAAACCAGAAGCTCCCAAATCAGCTTTAGCCCAGCCTCAAACGAGAGCGCCCAGGCACATCGAGAAGGGGCCAGAGGTGGCGGAGTGAGTGCTGGGCCCCGTCCAGCAGAGCTGCCCCAGCCCCCAACAGGGAGAAGGTGCGCTCACCCCGCTCAAGCCCGTCTATGTTCTGTGTGTAGAGCCGTAGCAGCAGCCCCTTCTCGTGCAGGAGCCGCAGGAAGTAGTGAGTCATGTTGGGCCGGAAGTTCCCAGGGTACAGCTCCTTGGCCAAAGTGAAAAAGGGCTTGGGGTTTCGAAAGAAGAATGAAAGTTCAAAAATGGCTTCGGGGTATGGGATGTCGTACTGCTGGAGATTGCTGTAGAGGCCGCTCCCCGGAGACCTGCAAAGAGAAAGAAGCCCTGAGGAGGGGGTGGCAAATGGGGGGGGGGGGGGGGAGGGGGGGGGGGGGGGGGCCCAAAGGGGGGGGGGGGGGGGTGCTGAGAGGGCAGGAGGAGGTGAGAGAGTGAGGGGAGCACGCCAAGGCCGGCAGGGCCGCATGGCACCTGAAGTCAGGGATGCCGCTGGGTGTGCTGATGCCGGCCCCCACCATGACCACCAGCCTCTGGCAGGCTCTGGTCCGGATCAGCTCGGCTACATCCTGCAAGGACAGCTGCTCCCTGGTACTGCCACCTCCCCCTCCAGAATCTCTCGAGGTGCAAGTAGAAAGGGACACGGGCCTTCTCTCACCTGCAGTACCAACGGGAAAAGCACAAAGTGGAAAATACGACAGATGGACAGCAATAACATCATGCCAGCAAGAACAGGCAAGGCCCAGCCTCCTGCCACTCCACCCCAGGACGGCCACACAACTCCCTCCAGCCCCAAATGTCCACCATCCTCATCAGGGTGATCGCGCGCCTAAAACACAGCACTGTCCTAAAGCACGGCCAAGGTCATTGGGACCATGCAAATGAGGAAGTTGTCCCGTGATGCTGTACAGAAGGTCGGAGCTCAGACAGGCCCCACACCACGGGCCATACCTGCGCACCTCGGCTGTGACAAAGGTACAGTGACCCACGAGGAAAACAGAGTACCAAGCTTCAGGCTCCACAGACCCCTCCGGAAGGAACAGTCACACGCCGAGAGGCAGGGTCCAAACTGCTGCAGGCAAAGCAATCAGCAATCCTAGCCTGCTCACGTCAATCGTGCAAACCCGTCTAGGGAGACTAAGATCACCCACCGGTGACGCCAGACTGTGTGGTGGACAACACATGCCATTCCACACACGTCATCTGGCATCTTAGCTTCCCTTCCCTGGCCCAGGCAGCTCTTCTATTTCATCCCTAGCCACCCAGGGCTAAATCAGTGGATACCAGCCACAGGCACAGAGGTCCACACAACTCCCTGCACTTCAGAAAAGCTGGCCCCCCTACTCTCTTAGGGTCTAATCATTCACTGGAATGACTCACAGAGCTCAGTGAAACACTATACCTACAACAACAACTTTAACAGAGAAGAACATAAATGAAAAAATGCACAGAGAAAGGTCTGGGAAGGGTCCTCAAGGGGATATGCTTACTCTCCCAAGAAAAGTTGGTCACTCTCACCAATCAGGAAACTTTTCAACCAGGAAATGCAGTATGACGTATCACAGCTGGCGCCACTTCTCAGCCAGGACCTTGGACAGCTTTCTGTTGCCTGCAGGCTCCCACAACTCCTCAGGGGTGCAGCAGCCTTCCACCAGGTCTGGAAGGGTTTCTGTCAAGGGCTTCACGTCTTGGAGGATGTGCCATCCCTCCTGGCTGTCATCACCCTGGAAGCCCCATCAGAGACTCCGTGTTCTAGGGTTTTTAATAAGCCAATCCTCACGCTCCTTTGTCAATGATCAGGTGAGGCTCGCTAGCCAAACAGGGCAAAAGTAACAAACCCTCAGGGGCAGTCAACAACCCAGGAAATCCCCTACGGTCAATTCCCCAAAACCAAGGGCAAAAGGCCACACAAGGAAAGTCACTGCACCTCAGGTGTTGGTCTGGCTTGAAAGAACAGAGAATAAAGGCCATGTAAGGCAATTCCACACCTCCCAGGCCGCGGCCTCTCCAACACTCACAGCCACCTCGGGAGGCAGCTCTTATGATCACACAGTTGGCGCATGGCGCGATGGACCTGCCAGCACTCTCTACAAAGCTCTAGAACTGATACCACCGTCGCTCTGGAGGCTGACACCACAGCAAGGTCAGCTGTAGTGAGAACAGTGGCCTTTCATTGCACCCAGGGAGCAGGACTAGGTGACACACGGCCTCCAGCACAGGGGTCCCACCACTAAAGCCCCCCAGGGCCTGGAGGGCATCCCCTGCATCCAACCACACCACCCAGGGATTGGCCCAAGGTCAATGCCACTGGATCCCCCTGCATGGCCCTTTTGCACAGCAGGGCAGGTGGCCCATCAGCTTTCCCAGGAGGTGACCCTGAAGCCTCGCCTCTGACCTTCCCACCCAGAGGCAGGGCTGACAGGAGCCAGGCTATGGCACCCCAAAATAGGCTCCTACACCTCAGTCCCCAGATACCTGCTGTCTTGCAGCACCGTCAGTTTGCTTTGGCACCACTGGGTCCCACGAGAAACACCCAGAACCAGAAATGAAGTCTGAAGAGGTGGCCACCTGCCCAGAAACTGAGACCTTCCTCCCACCATCTGACCACAGAGACCCTCCACCAAACCATCCCTGAACCCCATAACATCTGACCCTCCCCCACGCCATCTGACTGCACAGAGACCCTCCACCACACCATCCGACCCTCCCCACACCATCTGACCACAGAGACCCTCCACACCATCTGACCTTCCCCCACCATCTGACTGCAGAGACCCTCCACACCATCTGACCTTCCCCCACCATCTGACCGCAGAGACCCTCCACACCGTCTGACCTTCCCCCACCATCTGACTGCAGAGACCCTCCACCACACCATCCCTGAACGCAGAGACCTTACCCCATAACATCTGACCCTCCCCCACCCCATCTGACTGCACAGAGACCCTCCACACCATCTGACCCTCCCCCACACCATCTGACCCTCCCCCACGCCATCTGACTGCACAGAGACCCTCCACACCATCTGACCCTCCCCCACACCATCTGACCCTCCCCCACGCCATCTGACTGCACAGAGACCCTCCACAACGTCTGACTCTCTCCCCCACACCATCTGACTGCACCGAGACCCTCCCCCATGCCATCTGACTCATGAGCAGCCCCCCATCAGTTCACATAACAGGGCCCCCAAGCAGCACAGGAGGAAGAGCTCCACAGAGAAAGCAGCCTCTGGAGGTTCGTGATGAGCAAAGTGATGGGGGAAGGGCCCTGTGATGAGAAGGCCCAGTAATGAGAAGTGAAGGGGGGCTGTGATGAGAAGTGAAGGGGGGCTGTAATGGGGGGCTGTGATGAGAGGGGGTGCTGTGATGGGGGCTGTGATGGGGGCTGTGATGAGGGGGGCTGTGACGGGGGGATGTGATAAGGAGTGACGGGGGGCCTGGTTGGCAAGCACCAGAATGCGCAGAGTCCAACGCCCACCTCCCCTGTTAAGTTACTCAGTACTAAGGCTAAGAACAACTGGAGATGATTCTCACAGTCTTGCTGGAAGAACCTGGAGCTGTAAACTTCCCAGCAGAAAGCACAGGAAACACAGCAAGGAATAAAAGCTGCACGCCCCACCCCCAACCCTCGCCCCAGTGCTCTTGCAACGGAGCCGAGCTGAGCCGGAGCCGGCAACAGAGCCGGCACAAATCCTGAGGAAGTCTCTGGGTGAACGGCTTGCATAAAAGCACCTGGTCAGGCACCTTGGGTGCAAGAGGGAAAGTACGGCTCCAACTCCATCCCTCCTCACTTCACCCTGCACCAAGAGCGTGCAGCAGCAGTCGCCCAGCTCCTCTAAAGGCTAGCTGCTGAGAGGGATACAAAAGCAGAAGAGAAGCCGTCACCACCACTGAGTGCCTGCTGAGGCTCTTCACGCATCTCCCTCATCTATGAGTCAGACAGACAGGTGGACAGGGTTTTACCACCTTCACAGAACATACCTGGGGTACGAGACTCAAAGCAGATGCTCTGTGGTCTGAAATTCCTGGGAGTTGGGGACTGGGGACCCTGAGGTGGGCACGGGTAAAGAGGGAAACAAGGGGTGATTTCACCTACAAGCCTCAAATTCAAAAGTCAAGGGGCAGAAATTGAAATGGCTGAAAACCTGTGCGCCTGTGCAAACTGACCGCTCGTCATGGCAACCTCACACCCCAACTCAGGAGAGTACCTCTACAGCACGTATCCTGCTCCTTCCCCAGCACCTAGAACAAGAGTCTGCCACCGAGTAAGAGCTAAGGAAAGGTTTGCTGGCAGAACGAATGACTCCCCAGCATCTTTATTACAAACTCTTCGCTGATATTTTTAGTAACCATGAAAGATGATATTAAGTAATGTGTTTATCCAAATACTCACCCACTACTGGTCATTTAGGTTTGTTTCCAATTTTTATCTCTATAAATAACACTGATTAACAACTTTGGGCCTGAAGATTTTTCCACATGGAGGATCAGTTCCTAGGTAAGGATTCCAAGAAGTGCAATTGCTGTGTATAAGGGTATGGACATATGCTCATAGAAGACTAACTGCAGAACCTTTTCGGGGGTGGTGAAGCAATAAAAATGTATATAGCTTTAGACTCAGCAGTTCCACTGATAAGGATTTTTCTAAAAAGTGAAGTATGAACAAGTGTGTTCCTCATAGAATTATCTATAATAACTAAAGATTGAAAACCATCTCAATAAGGAAATGGTTAAATTACAAAAACTCATATAATGGAATCCTATGAATCAACATTCGAATGTGTGGATCACAACAAATTGTGGATAACACTGGCAATAGGAATTCCAGAACACTTAACTGTGTTCATGAGGAACCTGAACTTAGACCAAGCAGCAGTCGTTCAAACAGAACAAGGGGATACTGCGTGGTTTAAAGCCAGGAAACGTGTGTGTCAAGGTTGTATCTTTCCACCATACTTATTCAATCTATATGCTGAGCAAATAATCCAAGAAGCTGGACTATATGAAGAATGGGGCATCAGGATTGGAGGAAGACTCAATAACAACCTGCATTATGTAGATAACACAACCTTGCCTGCTGAAAGTGAACAGAAGTTGAAGCACTTAACTGATGAAGATCAAAGATCACAGCCTTCAGTATGGATTATGCCTCAACATAAAGAAAACAAAAATCCTCACGACTGCACCAATAAGGAACATGATGATAAATGGAGAAAAGACTGAAGTTGAGGATTTCATTTTACTTGGATGCACAACACCCATGGAAGCAGCAGTCAAAAAATCAAACGACACATTGTATTGGACAAATCTGCTGCAAAAGACCTCTTTAAAGTGTTAAAAAGCAAATATGTGACTTTAAGGACTGAGATGTGCCAAGCCACGGCGTTTTCAATCGCCTCATATGCCTGTGAAAGCTGGACAATGAGAAGAAAGACCAAAGAAAAATCAATGGCTTTGAATTGTGGTGTTGGCGAAGAACATACCGTGGACTGCCAAAAGAACGAACAAATGTGTATTGGAAGAACAGCCAGAAAGCTCACGAGAAGCAAGGATGTTGAGACTACGTCTCACGTACTTTGGGCATGTTATCAGGAGGGACCAGTTCTTGGAGAAGGACATCATACTTGGTAGAGGCTCAGCGGCAACGAGGAAGACCCTGAAGATGGGTTGACACAGTGGCTGCAATGGGCTCAAGCACAACAACTCTGAGGTTGGCACAGGACCGGGCAGTGTTTGGTTCTGTTGTACACCGGGTCGCTATGAGTCAGAACCGAGTCAACGGCCCCTAACAATAGATCAGCATAAAAACATTCAGAAAACACTATGTATTTAAATGGCTGTAACTCAAGATATACTGTAGTAAGAAAACCGGCGAGACACGTAACGGAACTTCCACTAAAAAAGCTCAAGAAGACTCGCCAGTACTGCTTGTACGAGCCCAGAATCTCAGGAAAGAAGACACGAAGACGAAGCCGCCCTCCGTCAGAACGAACACGAACACCACTTCCCCACGAGCGTCCGCTTCACGGTCTTGACCTATCCGACGCCCTCCACGCCCCACAGCCACCCCTGCGGAAAGAGCCTGCGAGCCCGCGACGACCGCTCGGCCCCGGCCCGCGGGCTGCCCCAGGAGGAAATGAGGTCGGCGGCCGCAGGCCCGCTCACCTCCCGCGCCCAAGGGCCTGCGGGCGGGGAAAAGCCCCTTCCTCAGTGCGGGGACGGCGCGACGAGCCAACAGCGCCATTTTCTCCGCGACCGCGAGTGTTCTCCCGTCACGTGCCCGCCCACCACGCTCTTGCCCCGCCCCGCACGTCGGCGTCCGCCACGCCCCCAACAGCCTCTTGCCCCGGCGCGCACGTTCGTCCTCTCGTTCAAAGAGCAGAGACGCGCCGTTACCCTAACGATAAGCGGTCTCCTGGGGTTGGGCAACAGAGCTCCCGGTCCGCCCCGCGCGACTCGGCGCCGGAAGTGAGTGAGCACTTCCGGCGGCCATCCCCGCGGCGCTGACATCTCGGCGGTAGACTTGGTTGTGCCGTTGTCCTGGGTTCTTCCTGCCGTCATGAAGGACGTACAGGGCTTTCTACAGCAGAGCCAAAGCTCCGGACCTGGCCAGGCCGCCGTGTGGCATCGTTTGGAGGAACTCTACACGAAGAAGTGAGCGCCGAGCCAAGGGGTCCCGGGCCCCGGGGAGAGCAGAGCAAGGCCGAGGGGCTCCGAGGCGGCCGGGCCGGGAACGGGGCGGAGGCGTGTGGGAGGAGAGCTTGCTGGACTGAGGGCGTCAGACCGGCCGATCTGTGTGGGGGCTTGAGGAGGCGGGCGCGTGTGGGGACAGTGAGAACAGTTGGGGACCGGCTGAGCCGGCACGGTGGGCTGAGGAACCCCGAGGATTGAGCAGCAGGCCGTCACTGCCTTCCTGAGCGAAGGGCTGTGACTGAGGCTTCTGAACTCCCCATCCTCTCATCTTACTGAAAGGGTTCAGGCTGGGCGGTGAGTTTAATTCTTGAGTTCAGTCAAACGGGCAGGGCAGCAGACCCTGGTGACTTGTCCTTAACCTTGTCATAGTTTGCTTTCTCGCGGTCTAGAGGCATACACGGAGGCCGGTGCAGCGCTGTTCTTTTCGCTGTCGATTCTGCGGCTTGTTACGTGCGGGGGTGCCACCACCGCCACCCTCCCCCGTGATCCCTACTTTCCATTGCACTTCACTTTGGGCTTTATGTCCTTAGAGAGATGTCAGAGTTTTGGTTTGTTTAGAAACACGATGAATTCCAGAACAATTGTCTGTTGCTAGGCACCAGCCTCTTTTAAAATTAATAGACTAAATTGCTAACGTTAGGGTATAGATATTCCATAGGAAAACATACTTCCTGTAGTAACCTCTCTGATAACAACCTTGAGCGTTTAGTATAGTGCCTTTCATGCCGGCATTCAGTCCATGTTTTGATGGTGTCCAGCAGGCTGCTGCAATTAACAGTTTTTGAGATAAAGTTGACAAGGATGTGATTCTTAGTGCTTGGCCAGTAATCGCTTGTGTTTGGTAGCATTTTGTATTTTTCAAAGCACATTGATATACGTTGTTTTTAGCCTTCGGTTTTTGGATGACATGCACCATACTACTGTTCTAAACATTGTACGTGTTAGCTCACTTACTAACTCATTTATCCCCATTTATAGATGACGACACTGAAGCTCAGTTTAAGCGCTAGGATTTTAACTTAGAGCTGTATGATTCTAAAGCTCTTGTTTCCAGTCGAACCTCACAATAACCTTTTGAGGTAGCCAGAAGGATGTTCTCCATTTTACAGCTGGGAAAACTGAGTCTTAGATTAACATGTTAATGTTACTCAAGATGATGTAACTGTTGAGCAGAAGAGCCAGGAGAACTCAGGTTCATTAGCATGTGCTTTAGTATTCTTTCTGTTATACAATATGACTGCTAGTATTTATTACTTGATAGGACCGCAAAAGCTGAAGGTGTGTGTGACCTGATGCGAGGTTATAGGTCTTGAGGGCATTGTGTTTTTCAGGTTGTGGCATCAGCTGACGCTTCAGGTGCTTGATTTTGTACAGGACCCGTGCTTTGCCCAAGGAGATGGTCTCATTAAGGTAAATCATTTACTATGTTAACCAAAACCCATTGCTGTCAAGTCAGTTCCAACTCATAGTGACCTTATAGAACAGGGTAGAACTGCCCCGTAGGGTTTCCAAGACTGTAATCTTTGAAGAGGCAGACTCCCACATCTTTCCCCCACAGAGCTGCGGGTGGGTTCAAGCTGCTGACCTTTGGGTTGGCAGCTGAGCATTTAACCACTGTGCTACCAGGGACATCTGTTTACCATGTTAGGTCGGATTGTATAAATAATGCTCCAAGACTTTCAGAATCATTGATAGGCTTTTAAATAGTAACGGTAAGCTATGCCTGTTCTGACACCGCTGTGCGTCATTGTCCTGAGCACTTTACATATTTACTCACTTAATCCTCCTGTGTGGTCTCTCTGAGTCCAAATCAACTTGACAGCAGTGGGTTTTTGTTTTTTTGGTTTTATAATCCTCATTGGAAGGTAAGTACTACTGTTGTTCCCATGTTTTAGATGTAGAAGCAGATGCCAAGTTGTTGTCAGGTGCTGTCGAGTCAGTTCCGACTCATAGCGACCCTGTGTACAACAGAATGAAGAAGCACTACCTTGTCCTGCCCCATCCTCACAATCGTTGTTGTGCTTGAGTTCAGTGTTGTAGCCACTGTGTCAGTCCATCTCGTTGAGCGTCTTCCTCTTGTTCGCTAACCCTCTACTTTACCAAGCATGATGTCCTTCTCAGGGACTGGTCTCTCCTGACATAACGTCCAAAACATGTGAGACGTAGTCTCGCCATCCTTGCTTCTAAGAAGCATTCTGGTTGTACTTCTTCCAAGACAGATTTGTTCGTTCTTTTGGTAGTCTATGGTATATTCACTATTCTTCGCCAACACAATAATTCAAAGGCATCAGTTCTTCTTCGATCTTCCTTATTCATTGTCCAGATTTCACATACATATGAGGCAATTGAAAACACCATGGCTTGGGTCAGGCGCACCTTCATCTTCAAGGTGACATCTTTGCTTTTCAACACTTTAAAGAGGTCTTTTGCAGCAGATTTCCCCAATGCAATGTGTCTTGATTTCTTGACTCCTGCTTCCATGGGTGTTGATTGTGGATCCAAGTAAAATGAAATCCTTGACAACTTCAGTCCTTTGTCCATTTATCATGATGTTGCTTATTGGTCCAGTCATGAGAACTTTTGTTTTATGTTGAGGTGTAATCCATACTGAAGGCTGTGATCTTTGATCTTCATCAGTAAGTGCTTCAAGTCCTCTTCACTTTCAGGGAGCAAGGTTGTGTCATCTGCATATCACAGGTTGTTAATGAGTCTTCCTCCAATCCTGATGCCCCATTCTTCTTCATATAGTCCAGCTTCTTGGATTATTTGCTCAGCATACAGATTGAATAGGTATGGTGAAAGGATACAACTCTGATGCATACCTTTCCTGATTTAAACCACACAGTGTCCTCTTGTTCTGTTCGAACTACTGCCTCTTGGTCTAAGTTCAGGTTCCTTATGAGCACAATTAAGTGTTCTAGAATTCCCATTTTTCACGACGTTATCCGTAATTTGTTATGATCCACACAGTCAGATGCCTTAGCATAGTCAATAAAACACAGGTGAACATCTTTCTGGTATTCTGTGCTTTCAGCCAGGATCCATCTGACATCAGCAACGATATCCCTGGTTCCACGTCCTCTTATGAATCTGGCTTAAATTTCTGGCAGTTCTCTGTCGATACACTGCTGCAGCTGCTTTTGAATGATCTTCAGCAAAATTTTACTAGCGTATAACATTAATGATACTGTTCAGTAATTTCTGTATTCGGTTGGTTCACCGTTCTTAGGAATAAGCATAAATATGGATCTCTGCCAGTCAGTTGGCCAGGTAGCTGTCTTCCAAATTTCTTGGCATAAATGAGTGAGTATTTTCAGACTGCATCCGTTTGTTGAAACGTCTCAATGATATTCTGTCAGTTCCTGGAGCCTTGTTTTCACCCACACCTTCAGTGCAGCTTGGACTTCTTCCTTCAGTATCATCGGTTCCTGATCATATGCTGCCTCCTGAAATGGTTGAACGTCGACCAGTTCTTTTTGGTATAATGACTTTGTGTACCCCTTCCATCTTCTTTTGTTGCTTCCTGCGTAGTTTAATATTTTCCCCATAGAATCTTTCACTATCGCAACTCGAGGCTTGAATTTTTTTCAGTTCTTTCAACTTGAGCAATGCTGAGTGTGTTCTTCCCTTTTGGTTTTCTATCTCCGGGTCTTTACACATGTCATTATAATATTTTGTCTTCTCGAGCCACCGTTTGAATTCTTCTGTTCAGCTCTTTTACTTCATCATTTCTTCATTTTGCTTTAGTTACTTAACTTTCAAGAGCAACTTTCGGAGTCTCTTCTGACATCCATTTTGGCCTTTTCTTTCTTTCCTGTCTTTTTAATGACCTTTTGCTTTCTTCATGTATGATGTCCTTGATGTCATTCCACAACTCGTCTGGTCTTTGGTCATTAGTGTTCAACGTGTCAAGTCTATTCTTGAACAGATGCTAAGAGATGAAGTAATCTGCCACAGGTCATAGCTAGTAAGTGGCCTGGGGGATGGAGACAGACATTCTGGCTTCTGTACATCTAATGTTCCAGCCTAAAATTACGCCATCTAATAGCATGCCTCTGCATCTTATTGTTCAGAGACTTATATTTTTGGAGTACTGTAAAAACATACTTGAGGGCAGTGTCTGACCTCTTCTTACTTCACAAGGGGAAGGGAGACTCAAGATCAACAGACCAAGGCTGATTCCCATGAGGCGGAGGTCAGACATGCCTCTTCTGTCTGCTATCTTTACTAATTCTGACACCAGCTGTCCCTCCCACAGCACTCTCTACTGGGTTCAATAATTCATTGCAATGGCCACATAGAACTCACAGGCCACACTCACAATTAAGAGATTTGTTAGGGAAGTAACAGTTACAATTCAGGCTCAGGAACACTCAGGATGCAGTTCTTCCATCAGGACAGCCTCTGTGCTCGCAGGCATGCCTTTCCCTGGCCCTCAGTCTCTGCCCAAAGGCACTCAGCTTTCTCTCTCCGTGGGCCAGGAAGCCCACCCTGCTGTTTGCTGCTGGTCTCTGCTGCCAGTTTCTGCTGTGGGTCTCCTTCTTTGGTGGT